GTAATATATAAATAATTTAATATAAAATTGTATTGTACTATAAAAATAAAGATTTCTATAAGGAAACTGGGTAGAATTATTTCCCATAAATTTAAAGAATTGAATGACTTAATATATAAATAATAACAACATACATTCTGTTGGCTAATGATTTCCAGGATAAAATGCTAAAGAGGGAATATTGTATTCCCTATTTAGCATTTTATCCTGGAAATCATTAGCCATGCTGAACTAGTTTCTAAAACATGATTTGCATGGCTTATTTTTCCATGAAGGCAACGCCTATACTCACAGTATTATATGTTGAGAGGATGAGAGTTGCACTCAGCTCCTTTAGAAAAATAATACCATGGCTGACAACACTTCTTCAAACTTGACTATCTGCACACATGGCAACACGGTAGAGCGGTACATGTACCCGACGGCTTACTCAATATTCTTCATCATTGGATTTCCAGCGAACTGTTTGTCTCTGTACGTGGCCTGTGTTCTGGTGAAGAAAGGCAATAATTTGGCGGTTTATCTGATTAACTTGTGTGTCGGAGATCTGCTGTATATTCTAACTCTGCCCGTCTGGATCCCGATGGCACTCGGGCAGGCGGTGAGTGACAGTCTGTGCAGTGTTATTGCGGTGGTCATGTTCAACAGCTTCTACGTCGGCTCCGGGTTTCTGTGCTGCATCTCGATGGATCGATATTTAGCCATAGTGTTCCCGCTGCATTTCATACGGGTGCGAGAGGTCAGAACCGCCGTGATGGTGAGCGTCATCGTATGGCTGGTGGAGATTACGATTCATCTCAGTCTTCTGGAGTACACATATGCCATCAGGACCTTTTCTGTCAGTCGAATGTGCGAGGAGCCAGAGATGATGACCAAAGCTGCTGCCAACACGGCCATCACACGAGCCGTCCTGGGGTTTCTCATTCCTGTGCTCATTATGACCTTCTGCTTCATGGAGATCATCAGGGCGCTGAATAAGAGCACATCTACTGTGGTCAGCGAACGGAGAAAGATCTGCTTTCTACTTCTGTTTCTTCTGTTCACCTACTTGGTGGCTTTTACCCCGTTTCAGGTGGTGATGTTCATCAGAGGACTATTGGAGCCCGGAGACTGCAGTGTGGCGCAAAATCTGAGAGGGGTTTACATGGTGTTTGTGGCCACCACGACAATAAACAGCGTTTTAGATCCCATCATTTATTGTCTCATAAGTGACAGTGCCAAAACTGAAATGAAAAACCTTTTCAAGTGCTGTGGGAAACAATTCAGCAAGATTTATTCATCTGTGGTGAAACCCTGAGTTTATAATAACACTGGAAGACTGCAAATATACTGTATATGAATGTCTTGACACACGCATTTGTTAGTATTCACAATGCTTATATACAGTAGCAGCCAAAAGTTTGGACACAAGTTTTATGTTACTCATGATTTTAACCCTGTAAAGCCTGACGCGTGAAAATCATAAGAAAGAAAAATATTTTCAAAGGTTAAAAGTGAGCTGAATAAAGACAAGTTTGCATATGTGTTTTTTGTTCAGGTTTTTATGGCACATAGAGTATGATAAAGTGAAGTAAGGAGGGGGGACTCAAACTGAGCAAAAATAGGGAATTTGGTGCAGATGCTGATATTTATATGGACATAAAGATGAAATTATTTACATATCAATAAGATCTTTATAACAGTATAACAGACTACTGACAAAAAATGCATATAAATATCAGTCGTCACTAGTAAGATGATATTTAAATGCTTAGTTTTATGATCAAATCTCTGTAGTTTTAAAACATAATGCAATGCAATACAATGATGATTGAGATTTGAACAAATAAACCTTCCTCAAAAGCCTGATGATCATATTTGAGACTCACAATTGAGATTTTTTTTTTTTAAATGTGTGAATAATCAAGTCAAATGAAGTTGCTTCCGTCCAGTAAGTGTTGATCTTGAAATATTACAAACAATATCAAAGTTATTCTTATGTTTACTTGATAAAAATGAAAATCTGTAAAGATTTCACAGCAAAAAGACATGTAAACCATGAGCTTGAAGGTGGACGTTTGTACAATTACAAAACACATGTAGTAGATTGAGTGCAACAGGTTTTTATTTTCAGTTTTGATCATATTATTGATAGAAATTTGTCTATCAAATATGATACAGGGTTGAACCTAAAGGCTTCTGCTATATAGTTTGCGGACAAATATAAAATTGCGCATGCGTGTGAACTGTTAAGAAGTGGAAAATAGTCATAATAAAAATGAGCAGGTGTGTCCAAACTCTTGAGTGCTGGATTTCTGTGCATTTGTTTGGTGTGTGTGTTTGTTTTCAGAGAGAAAAAGGCTTCTGTGAAATAGATCTTATCCATTTCACCGCACGCAAACCCACCATCAAAACATCGTCTGTGTTTTCTGAGATTTGTCTGACTCCACACGAGCATTCAGCGGATACACAAAACCCCTGTCATCAAAACAAGTGAATTAAATGTATTATTTATTGTCATATATTGTTGCTTCACTCTCTTTCTTCCAAGCCAAAGAACACAAACAAGGGGGAGTTTATCATAATGATCACGCTGCTCTATTGAAAGATCTCTATATAAAATGACACCATATTGATCAATTGATTTGAATTAGAATATTTGGTAACACTTTAGTTTAGGGTCCAATTCCCAGTATTACTAGTTGCTTATTGGCATGCATTTTACTGGTGTTACGGATGCAGACACAGGAGAGGAAGAATGATGGTGAATGGTGAGTTTATTGATAAAGGTGCAGGGATGAGGTGAACAGGGAAAGCCCAAAGGGTGATCGAGGAAGGCGCTGGAGACAGGGAGATGAGTCACATAACACAAACCAACAAACAAGGTCGGACAAGGAACTGTGGAGAGGAGTGTGTGTTTATAGCGGACGTAATGAGGGTGATGATGAGATGCAGGGGAGTGTGATGAGGAACCAGGATGGATGCTGGGAAGTGTAGTGAAGAGGATGGTGACTAGGGTGAACATATTAATGCCTAATTCTGCATGACCATATTCTACACCCTTTAATCCTACCCCATACCTTAAAAACTACCTTACTAACTATTAATAAGCAGTAATTATGAGTTTATTAACGCAAAAGGTTGTTAATAGTTAGCCTGGTTCAGCCAGACTCTCGTACATTTCATTTGTACAGAGAGTCTGGCCTCTCTCCATTGAGAAACGTTTACTTCCTTGTAGGCGGGTTCTCTGTTAAAGTTCAAAACTATTGGATCTGCCCAGTCACTCAGGATCTGCCATAGCCAATCGCTAACATGTGGTCGTGACGTATGTCATGCACCGAAACCGGCCGGAACAACAAGTCCGAATGATCAGAGGATTATGTTTACAATAAGATGTCTGTCAATGAGAGATGCAGGTTTTGTTCATCTAGGACCAATAGGCTTTATGCACAGCTGCACTACTTCCTGAACTTCAGCCAGCTCCTTTGTTTCCTGTCTGCCATTATTGGACAAACTGATTAATCCAGGTGTGCCTGATTATTGTTACTGAGGCCAGGCACACCTGGATTAATCAGTTTGTCCAATAATGGCAGACAGGAAACAAAGGAGCTGGCTGAAATTCAGGAAGTAGTGCAGCTGTGCATAAAGCCAATTATTAATTCGAAATGTATATTTGAAAGTAAGGACAGTGATGTATTCATTCAACTGTCGAAGCTGGGTCTAATCATTAAAAATGCGCCGCTGCGGTCGTTTCGGATCTGCCGCAAATGCTGTACAGTGAATGATCTGACTCTATCTGCAGATGTGTAATAAACAACAATTTTTCATATTATGTCTTATTGTTTATTAATTACCTTAATTAATTATGGTCTTCAAAGTATGTGTTTGTACATTTTTATTTATGACATTAAAAACATTAGTCTAAAAAAGAAGAGATGTCACGTGCTAGGTTATAGCAAAAAATGATAATTTCCACCAGCTGTCCCTGGACAGGTTGATGTTATACTTGCAAAAATTCATAAAATATATACAGAATAATACATGGAAGCATTACTTCACTCACATCATAAAAAACACTCTACTTCAGGAAACTATCACTCACTCATTCACAGTTTACATCATTCATATCACAGTCATTCAGTGCGTACAGGTTTGCTTTGATAATAACCCCTTGTTTGGTCAGGCGTGTAAATGTACTATAGTTTGTACATAAGATAATTTCGTTTGGAAGAGTGTTCCAAAGGCTCGCTGCTGTATAAGAGAACGATTGTTGACCATATGTGGTTCTACGTCTCGGGACGCTGCGCTCTCCTCTGACTGTCGACCGTGTCTCTAGAAATTCTCTCTGAATTTAGTGAGACAAATTTTCTCAAAGGGGGAGCAGCGATGTTATGGATAATTTTAAATAAAGCAGAAATTTGATTATATTTAATGAGGTTTTCAAAACTCAAAATGTTATATTTACTTTGTACTTTACAATGGTGGTACTGGCGAGGTTTTTTATTATGAATTTTCATAGCTCTTTTATATAATGATTCAAGTCATTTTAACGATGTTTTACACGCCTGAGACCAACTAGACATGCAAAACAGTAGATGTGGAACAATCATAGTATTGAGATATATATTTGAGGCTTCCGTAGTTAATGAGTTTCTAATATGTTTATAGTTCATCAAATTAAATTTCAATTTATTACCATTTTTTTATGTGACTTTTAAAACTGAGATTCGAATCAAGTACTAGACCTAAATATTTTGTTTCATTTACATTTAAATTTTTTTGTCCATTTACTTGAATTTAAAGTCCAGTCGTACAGAGACTAGACTACTCAATCTCATTATCAAAATTACAAACAGTAATCCAAAAATAACAACATGAGTGACTAAAAGACTTAGGCTATATTTGCAGTAAACAAATGACAAATCATGTTTCAGGAAGGCAGGATGTGTTCACTGCAATGACACTTCTTGAGTGTTTTGTGGTTTCTGTCCACTGAAAGTAAAACTACGGTAAGTACAAGGAAGTGATGTTTGCCACTCTTGCTTCCTCTCATGTGAAGCAGATTGTTGCAATGTGCAGTTCCTTCGATTATATCTTTGCAAATATTTATATCATATTTTGTCATAAAAACAGATTCCTGAATTGCTGCACTTATGGTGAGTAGATTTGATCTGAAATATTCAGCACATGGGCTTTTGATGCCGTTGAAACACTTTTGGTTTTCAAAAGGTTTGGTTGGTTGATTTCTAGTGAAAATATTGTATAATAATGTATAGCTGTTGTATATATTGTACACAGTTTTGTCCTTAATATTATGAGTCAGTATATAAATCTGCTTAAAAGGGACGTTTCACTCAAAACTAAAGATCTTTCATTGTTTAATCGCCCACATATGGCTCGTATGACTTTCTTCTGTGGAGCACAAATGCAGATCATATAATAATTTTATTCAACAAGTATGCATTAAATTGATCAAAAGTGATATTAAAGACATTTATAACGTTACAAAAGATTTCTATTCAACTTTTTTAATAAACTTTCTGTCAAAAAAACGTATAAATCATAACCATTTTCATTTTATTTAATTTTTTTCCAGGATTCTTTGATGAATTGAACATTCTGTTGTAATAATATTTCACAATATTATTTTTGCTCAAACAAATGCAGCCTCAGTGACATGAGACTTTAAAAAAACATTAAATAATCTTTATTATTCCAAACTTTTGACCAGTAGTGTTTATTACTCGCATAACTATCATATGATTTTGGTGTCTTCTGACCGTTTTCAATGTCACTGTATATAAAAGAGCAGCATAAAAAGAGCACAGAAGATCTTTTGGGTTTGAAACGATCCTGAATAAACTACAATTTTGTGTGAACTGTTCAGTTAATAGTTGCTATCCTACTGTCAGGTAAAGCTATCACATAACAAAATAACGATGTTTTTATCCCTCCTCATACAAACTAGCTGTCTTGAGATGAATGTAACGGAGAGATGGACGAACTCCTCCAGCGTGAACGATTCGGACTGCCGCCCGTCTGAGAAGCAAGAACAGAAGGTATTCGTCGCGTTGCACTTGGCTGTGATCCTGATCGGCATCCCGTCCAACGTCTTCTTCCTATTTGTGTCATACCGGCTCATCCGTCTGAAGAACGAGTTGGGCGTTTATCTGTTTAATCTGGCTCTCTCGGACCTCTTGTTTATCACGTGTTTGCCCGTGTGGATTCAGTTCGCTCTCCACGACACGTGGATTTACGGAAAGACCGCATGTGTCGTGTGTGTTTTCCTGCTCTTCACAAACTTCTACACCAGCACCGTACTTCTCAGCTGCATCGCTGTGGATCGCTACTTAGCCATCGTTCACCCGCTACAGTTTTGCGAGTTTAGAAAGCGCAGGATTGCAGTCGGCGTGAGCATTGCCGGTTGGATTTTTAGCGTCGTATTCAATGCAATCACTGTGGATCCAGATAGTGTCTACGAAGATAAGGAGGATTATTCAATCTGCTTGGACCTATTTCCTTTGCCACATCTGCAAAAACGGGTCAACGTCGCTCGTTTTGTCGTAGGTTTCCTCATTCCTGCATTGGTGGTGGGTTTCTGTTATTGGCAGATCTATTCAGACATAAAGAAAAACCGAACTCTGGGGTCGATGGAGCGCCGGCATGTGTTCAAGCTTCTCGGAGGCATTTTGCTGACTCTTTACTTGTGTTTCGGGCCTGTGCACATCATGATGGTTTTGAGGGTTTTGCTGGAGGATTGTCCGTATCCCAACTGGCTCTTCATCGGATATAAGGCCAGCGTCTTCCTCTCTACGCTCAACTGCCTTGCCGATCCGCTCCTGTACGGCTTAACGAGCAGAACGGGTCAAACCAGTGCTTCAAACTTGTTACTCGTCTTCAGGAGAATATGGAAGAAAGAGGAGCAAAGAGAACCGCAAAACAACCAAATCCTTGGAACTGGAATGGATTCCAATCACAAAAGCCCTATTTACTGTACATCTGAATTACAGTTGTGATTGGATCAAGCTGATGTTTATATATGCTATAGTGTTTTTAAAAAAGAACGGGACTGAAACCAAGGAGTGAAATGAAAGGAAGACTTATACAGTCAAACCAAAATGTATTCAGACACCTTCAACATTTCTCACATTATCACAGTTTATTCGCTATCGTTTAGAAAATGGTGATAAAATATGACAAGAGTTATCAAATCAGTTGATATTTCACTGGTTGTGTCCATCCTTCTGTTAGATTTAACAGAATTAGAATTAGAATTACACAATTATAATACCAATATAGGTCAACCAATTACCAAGCAATGCTTCATGTTGTTCAGTCTGTGGTGTAAAAAGGTCACATTAGCAATTAAAGACAAAAATAATGTATAGTCCCAAATTTTCATAATTTTTACTGGTAGTCTAGTCACTGTATAAAGAATTTTTGCTCTCCTCACTTACACAAATGAACTATAATGTCCTACAACCACTAGTAAAAAATATTTAAACTTTCATTCAAACACAAAAACTGATCTATGAACTGACTGTCAACGTCAAGACAACTTACGATAATCCTTGCTTTTTTGAGAAATGAGAACAGCATTTCATCATAACTTCCTGTCTGTTAAATAATGCAGTAGGTAACGCACTTCCCCCGAAATACCTGTGAGCTTTCATTTGTACTCCCCCGTCTTCACTAATACTTTGCACAAAATATTATTTTGAGTGTGGTATCTATACAAGGTTGCATCCAACAATGCCTTTTTCATTGTTTTTCAATGGTATTATTGACTTTTTCAATAATACCATTAAACTAATCTCCTATACGAATGAGTACTGTTTTTGTCATATTTAATGCATGCATGCATACATACATGCAAACACATTTATATATTGCACTATTACCATTCAAAGGTTTGGAATCTGTAAGATTTTTGTAACAAAGAAGTCTTTAACAATGTAAAAGGCTTTACTGTCACTTTCTGTCAGTTTCACTGTCAGTTTCTTTTTAAAAAAAATCTTTTTGAGAACATTTTGTCCCCATAGTATACGGTACACCAGGCCACACACACACACACACACACACACACACACACACACACACACACACACACACACCTCAACAGAAAGGGGAAGAGTTCATTCAGGAAGTACCAAACCACAGTCTAAAATTAAACAAATGTTCTCCTTTTAAATGATCTGTTCTTACACTTGATTATGGTTTTAAATGATTGTAAATAGTACATTTATGCTAAAATGTATACCATAGTATTCTGACAATTCTTTTTAAAATTACATTTATCTCACCTAAATGTTTGCTCACTCATTGTATTTGTGTTCTAACAATGGGGTAATTTTATTGCTCAAGAGTTTACATAACATGGGGAAGGTTGAATTGTTGAATTGAAAAAGTAGCACAAAGAAATACAATAGAATAAAGAGAGTTTGAGGATAGGTCTAACACTAGTATTCAGGTACTCGGCTACTACAGAAACTGAATAAAAAATAATCTAATGTAAAATAACACTGGATAGTCTCATGAATTAAATACACAGGCTATGAATCCTGATTCCTTACAATTAAAGCTATCTTTTGCTACTTTATCAACATTAATGACATACACAAGGGGCTTTCGCATCGGAGGAACCTTTTCATTACAAGCGTAAAAATATATCGAGTCACAATATATCGCAATACAAAAACGCATCAATATATATTGTGAATAGTGACAATATTTATTGTGTATAGTTCACAAAATAAATATTACCGTGTGAGGAAAAAATTCAAGTTTACAGAGTTTTAGTGTCTGTACTACATCAAACTTCTATATATATATATATATATATGTTGAATTTAATTTATAATAATGCAATGGGGGAATATTTATGTCCTGATAATGGCAAATTTCTTCTGTTACCAGTAAAAAGTGGTGTACATTATTTTAGACGAATATCCTTGCACTCCTTCACTGACTAGATATATGTAAAAATATCTAGTCAGTGATGAAGTGCAAGGATAGGCCTATTTGTCTAAAATAATTCAGAATCATGAATATTGTTATTCTGTAAGTCTCTATTGTCCTGTGCTTTGGGTTTCCAGTACCAAGTCCAAGTCTATTCATTTACATACACAATGTAATACCAAATTTAGCATTTTAATCAACAGTACATTTTTTGTTAACCTTTTTATCGCAATAATATCGTATCATGAGTTCAGTGTCGTGATATGTATCGAATCGTGACATGAGGGAATCGGTACACCCATACTTTTCATAGATCCTAGAACTATTGGCGGAAATACCCGGATTTTGTCGTGTTTGAACCATAGACTGTAAAAAAATATGGACGTAGTGTCCATGACGTCACCCGTAGGTTTCTGAAGAGCGTTTTTAAAGTGGGCGGGGCCAGCCGTCGCCATTTTGGCAGCGCGTCACCTCTCGTCACTACTGGATAAAATAAAATGGGCAAAGAGGCGGGACGTGGGTGGAGCTGAGGTGCTAATGCTATGCTACTGGCCTCGCACTAAAGTGACAGCTGATTAAAGAATAAAAGCCAATAGTTCATGTTTTTGCCCTTCGAAATATTATAATAGTTAAAAGACGTAACTAAAAGTGAGACTGTGTATGATGTATTGTTATTCTGCTGTAAAAATGTATTATCATGCAGTAACTTACAATATTGCTCTAAACTTGTGGGTGTGACAGTGATTCATGCGCATACATGTCAGTCAGCATGGCATCGCACGTCAAGTTCGTAAAGAGCTTTATTCAGTCCATTTTGGCCGCCTCTCAATTTCTCAAATGGGTTAAACCAAAGATATTACCTCAGAAGTTCAAGTAAATGCACTAGAAATCCGCACTCATTCGAGGGTGTGCATCTAAGTTACTGCATGGACGGAGAGAAAGCATGACACCTGCAGGATTTTATCTGACGGTACTTTTTATTTAACACTAAAAAGTTAAACAAGCATATCTGTTCCGTGAGAGCATTAGTACCGCATAACGAGTGTGGTCTCTATATCTATAGACGTTTTTAGCAAAGAAATTGTCAGACATCCATTAACGTTGGTGCATGCGAGGAAAACAACTGGAAATACAGCGCCTCTCCATTCCAGTCTATGCTCCATTCTTGACAACGACGGAATCCAACGGCGTGGGCGAAGGTATAATGCGTGTATTAAATTGTATGAAATAATCCCGAAAAAAGCACAAACACGGCAGAGATGGCAAACAGCAGCTGCTGAGAGCTGAGAGTGACGTTAACAGACAGCAGACAAACGGCCGCAATCCGCCTGTCACTCAAGTGGCCACGCCCTTAATTATGCAGGCTTAATATAATTTAAACGGATGAGTTGTAAAAAAATTCACCCCCCTCACAGTTGTCATGAAGGGCAAAATAAGCTATAAAGACCAAAACCACTTTTTGCTCCAGGCTGTAAACATGTTTTTTTCTGCTGTAAGTTGGGCATTTTAACATGGGTGAGATACAGATTTGACTCACTTCTGCCTCCAGCCTCAAGCTTCTTTCTCTTTCTGACTGAAGACAGTGACAGGGGTAATTCCAGCGTTATGGATGTGACATTTGAATTCATAATGAGAGGTGAAATGTCTCAGAAAAAAAAAAATTCTTACAATATTTAAATTGGAAATGCATATTCTCAGAGCACCCAATCTGGGGAATTGACAGGCAAAATATGTTTTCCTAAAATATATTTAAGCACCCCCAAAAAAGGAAAATATGCATGCGTTATGGATGTGACGGGAAATGACAGAGTTTTTGGTAATACTGTTCGATTTCCTTTAAAGTCTGTGAACTTTTAAATCCAATGTATAAATATTGCTATCCACATGATGAAGGGGTCTTAGCTGAACATAAAAATATCAATATATTTTTTTTTATGAAGTGTATTATGAGGAAAAACCAACGTTATGGATGTGACAAAACCCCTGTGGATGTGACGCGTCTGAAATACATAGAATCTGTTTGGAAAATCAACAATCAAACATGGCACTTTTGTTGACGCATAATGGCTGTGTTTTCACATTAAGAAGACTGTCTGAAATGATTCTGTTCAGTTATGAGACGCGCTCAAGTTTACGTGTTGCAAGTGATCGCACCTCCATGCTATATTTGCTTATTAATTAAATCCAGGCAATTGGTTGATGAAACTTTGATTTAAAATTAAGTTACAATTTATACAAAACGAAATTCACTTTAAATAAAGTCTTTCTACAAAACAAAACTTGAAATGAAGTGGCCAAAATCATTTCTGTCTTGAAACAGATCACAACAGTCATATGCATGATTTAATATGAAGCATCCGTAACGGTCACGTCCGTAACGCATTATTATGGTTGTTCAGAGGAAAGTAGTGAGATGAATTGTTTATCCTAATAAGCATAAACATAATTTAGCTTTGTAAATGAAGTTTCAAGTTATTTGCATTTATAATTGTCATATTAAATAAACTAAACCTTTAAAACGTTATTGACGTGACAGTGCACTGAAGCGTCAAGACCTCTTTATTATAGCCCTTATAAATTCAACAGGCAGTGCTGTTATGACCAAATTAGTATATTTATTTCTCAGGCATGCCTCCATCTTTCTGCAAAATGCTTACTGTTAAAATAAAGTTTAAAAAGGGGGGTCTTTGATACCTTTTTTTGAAAGCATGAAATATGGCTGGTTGAAAATGTAATTTAAGCATTGTTGCTCACCTCATATCTGGTGGATAAACAAGGCAATTTTCTTAAAATTTTTGTTAAAGCACATTAATACAGTATATTACAGACCTAAATGGATAACTTAAAAAGGGTTTTGTTCTTTTGATTAAAACTTTATTTTTTCATGGTAAAGATGACCTTTGCATGGAATTGCCCACAGCAAATAGCAAGTTTCCAGTCTTGCTAAAGAAAACAATGACTAACTACTTTTTCTTTCTTCTTTTTTTTGTAAAAACTGTGGTTAACATGATAAATTCATTTATAGGTCAGCATTTTGATTACATCAATGTTGTTGGAGTGTGTCTTGTCATATAATTTCAACACACAATACAAACTGATACTTATCTGAAAAAGAAATGACGCGTTTTAACACAATCTTCCG